CCACCCTTTGTAAGTGCGTCGATATCACCCTAGCAGAAACCTGAAGATGTCCCAGAGGTGACCAAGGTAAAACTGCTTCAACTCCACCCACTTATCAGCCAGATACCTATTCGCGATGGATGTCCAGAATGCCGCTTCCTCAACCGTCTCATCATCGCAACTGACCTATGCTCTTGTTCCAATGCTGCTGGTCGGCTCTTTTGGCCTCCTATTTTAAGCCGAAAGGGGGAATGAGAATGATATAAAAAATAAAATAAAATAAAAGCCAGAAATTGAAATAAACGGGCTAATGTCGCCCGAATTTTGTTTGATTTAGTCGCAGCATTTTTTTCCATTCCCGTCTCGATATCTATTGCTTCAAAGCAAAAATTTTCTATCTCCCTTTGATTCCTTTTATAATCCTTCCGCAAAGCGTATCTTTGGTAGGCGTTTGATTTTGAAACTGGGGTTACATTCATACTTCTTATTTTCATTTTATTCTTTGCTGCGCTCAAACCACTCCTTTCTTTTTTGGCTTTTTTTTTTTTCTGTCAAATTTGGCTGGACCTTTCGCTAGGGTGAATTGGGGTCTGTATACCAATTTTCTATTTCGACACTCCAAGCTGCCCAGACTCGTTGCTCTGCGTTCTGATTCTCGGCTCGGTTGTTTTCCTCAGAAGCTTAACAACGTCCTGCCTCCTTTTTCCTTTTCCCTTCTCCTCTTTTTATGTTAATGTTTTGCTCTGCAGGTTGAAGGACGTCGTTGTTTGTGGCGATGGAGCGTTTGCATTTGCTGTCTGCGGCTGTACTCGCTACAAGTGATTTAAGTTATACCATTTTACAAAGCACCGCAATAACACGACTCGATTCATGACGATATCTAACTACTGTTTCCTATCATCGTTTTTTTATGACTGTCCTTGTCGGACAAGGAGTGTCGGATCGACTCTCCATCCATCCACATCCCTGGAAAAAAGTTGAAAATACGGGTGTTGCACATCGTTTTATCAACCCGAGCGAAATCTTCGATATGATTATCATAGGAGGTCTACTATGATGTGAAAATGGTTTGATATTGGATTAAATGGCCACCGCATTTTGTTCTGAACGATGAAAGGGGCTGGAAATAGTGACAGTGCATGGGTAAGTGGTGCGGTTTCGCAAGAACATACATGGGGCGCTCAAAAGATATCTTTTACTTCTCTCTTTGTTTCCTTTACTTGACTATATGCTGGGATCGTTAGGAAATAGTATCAGTAGATATTAGATTGGCTTAATAAATAAAGTAGGTAAAATACTTGGTGTGGCAGAGAGGGTCGTAGTAATGTACTTATTATGATTCACCTCATTCACTGTATAGACAGGGACCGGGCTCAAATAGATTATCCTATTCGAATTTGCACGATGAGGGGAATATTGAACCCCCTTTAAAACACACATTTAGCAGAAAATGCGATATGCTACTAGTAAGCTCGATTGTCAACGGGGATACGGCTCACTGAAGCATTGCACTCGATTTGGGTGGTTGCAATCATGATAACTACGTGAGGTATGTACATTTAGCTGGCACATCCAGCATCATCATCCACCACCGCCACGACATGCATAGCCGCTCTAGAGACGTCCCTCGGGTCAAGCATTGTTAAGCGATCACTCCAAGGAGCGTATCAGCTCCAAGATGCCACTGGTCACCTGCTCTGGCTTCTCCTGTTGGACCCAGTGTCCCGCACCATCTACAAACTTCAAACCGCGAAAATCAGCGTAAACCTCCTTGGTCATCATCGCCTCCACAGCGCCTGGCACTTGATACGTTCACCAGTCCTGACTGCCGGAGATATATGCCATGGGGCATTCCATCCGCTTCCCAGCGAAGATGTCAATATCGCGTTTGCAGGCCGCCGTGGGATCTGAGTTGGTGCACACCCGGTACCAGTTAAGCGCTCCCTGGAAACTTTTCCGACGGAATTCCAATACGTAAACTTCAAGGTCGCTGTCTGGCAGCCAGGATTGGGAATCCTGAATGGCAGAAGGATCCTCCTGCGCCATGTCTGCTGCTATTGCCTCTGGCATAGTAAATAGCGTTTAGCGGCATGACGTAGTAATATGGGAGTTGGGTGAGTTCGGAAGCAGGTCCAAGATGCGAGTGGGTGGGGAGTATTCTTCGACCAAGAGGCGTCCCCTAAGGAACTCGTGGAGTCCATTGGGTGGGTTTGTCATTTCTGAGCTTGCTGGCTGGGTTGAATAGTACCATTTGTAATGCCTACGACCCAGCGATGCGAGATCCGTATGGATACTAGTATTTGAAGCGGCGGGTGGCAGTCCGCTCTCGGGTGTCCCTATGGCTTGCGCAGTAATAGTATTGAGAGTTGGTAGACTTGGGACCTTTTTGAACGGATGGCTCATCAAAACAACACTTTTGAAAAAATCAGGTCTAGCCAAAGCGCAGAACGCAGCCGCTACTGCGCCAAAGTCGTGGCCCACCAAGCACTTGACGTCTCGATACCCTAGGGCGTGAACAAGGACAATAACATCGCGGACCAGGTTTGTCATTGAAAATTCGTTCAAGTCAACATTTGCGAAATCTCGGTTATCCCAGCCTGTTGTACGGCCATAACCACGTTGATCGGGAGCAACGATGTAGCAGCCCTGGCTTGCGAGCAACGGCATCACTCATCACTTTCCGCCATGAAAATGCGAGCTCTGGAGAGCCGTGTAGAAGCACTATTAAGGGTCGTTCTCTGTCAGCAGTATACCCCGCTTCGAGGATATGGAACGAGAGGCCGTTCGGGCGGGAATCAATCTGTCTCGAAGAGACCCCCTGCGGCAGAGGCAACGGAGGGAGCAATGGACCCGACATCGCAGCCTCGCTGAGTTCCACGTACAAACGAATCCAAACAAGATGGTATTGCTGTATGTTTAGCGCTTGAGGGATTGTCCACTATGTTGAAGATAATCTTTGGCTCCCATCGTTATCCGGTAAATATTACCAGATCAAACAAAAAGCGGGCAGGCGATAGAGCCGTGGGGAGTTTACACATATATACAGTATTACTAGTACGCCAAAGCCTGATGGGTGTGCAACCTCTTCTTTATCTCTTATCCATTATGTCTGCAACCCCTTTTTATAACCTTCCTATTACTTCTTATTAATAAATATAAAGCCAATGACATTGCATTTCTTTTTTATGGCTTTTTATACCTACTGCAATGGATAGCTTACGGTCCATCACTGGCCGGGCAGTAGCAAGGTAGAAAACCGTAGGCCAAAATGGCCATCGGCTGGCTTCCTGGGGTCGACCGTGACAGATAACATAGATACATATAAGAAGTGAAGATGAGTGATGTTGAAGGCTTTTCTCCAAGCTGACAGACCAAGATATATGAAGTAGAAAGATTTGTCTTATCTAACTACCTTCCTATCTTCGAGATCTTAATTCCCATCTCTACAATAAATATATTTGTGCGGGCTATAATGCGGGGCTTTCTGTTGGACCTCTATAACATAGATTTCCCATTGGATTTCTATAATATAAGTATCTCTATCGCTTTGCACATCTGTAAAGTTTTCATAAATCTCTATTATATATGGAATTCTGCTTCAACGACTGCTCACTGACCTCTACGCGGACGTAAAGAGATTGATAATTGAAACCTACTGTCTGCCTGGCAATATCCTGGCAGGTTGGTGTGACTTCACCGTGCTTAAATAGCTGACTTGTTCAACGTATTAGTTAACTACTCAGTACATACCCTCCTCTAGCATCACACTGAGAAAGGATCGGTTTATTATATTATAAGTGGCGCGCTCAACGGAGTACTCCTTTCAACATCAAGCATCCTAGCTTCCATCCTCTGGGTTACGGTCGGAGTCGTGCGGCAGTGTCAATGGTGACGGGGTTTTGGGAAGGCGAGAAACCTGATTGGGACCCCTGCAATTGATCGTTTGAACATGACACTTGTCAAGGAGTTGGGAAACACCTGGAAAAATTCGGTTCTCTCAACGGCGCTCTGGTTGTTTGAGATGTCCCAGGAACCAAATGAGATCAATAGTCCTGACCCCTCCCTTTAATTTTTCACGGACTGTGCTTGGCGGGATTATCTCGTAAAGGTGATTGATTCTATCCAAGACCGATATCAGGTGACTTGGCAGTTACCGCCGTGGCTATATTTGAAGAGTTTCCTCTCCGTAAGACCAGTGGGGAAAAAAGTTCCGTATCAGTTTTGGCTTGAAGGAAACTAGATACCTTAGTAGTGCCTCCCTCCGCAACCCCAAACAAACCCATAAGGCTGGGGTGGATGAAAGAAAATAGATCTTTCTCACCCGGAGGCCGTTGATGTCATGCCAATCCTAGCCGGATGCGACCAGACCAACAACCTCCACCCGTTTTTTTGCTCTGCCAGGCATGGACAACGCACCTTCACACCATCTCCTGCTTCAAACCAGCAGAATCATCTGCTCTCCCAATCCATCGCATCATATACCTCCTTGTTGCTGCCCGGTGCAGTCAACTTATTCCCTGTGGAGTGATGAATCGTGACACGCAACGATGCTGCAAGACTTACTCCGTACAATAGCTCGTATTGATTTTCAGCAACCCCGAGATTAATCCTCAATGAAGTTTTGCGCATGTCGACGCAGAAAAACGACTCTCTCGGGCATCTATTTATTTCAAGCAATCTTTGGTTGTAATTATTTACTGTATCAATTGCCTCCTTGTTGCGAGCTTTCGTTTCCCATGGTTGATATCCTTTCCTGGCGAGTGAACCTTTCGCTATGTTCCGTCGCAAAAGATCCTCTGCACATGCGGTGAGTTACCCTAACAGCTCTGGAGCTCGTCCTACAGTCCACGATCTCTGGGCCACCCCTCCTATACCCTTTTCCCCTGCAGACCTGTTACCCTGTTACTGATGCAACTGCCGAATTGTCTTTTAGCCCTTAAATTCCAATCCGTCACCATCTGCCCAGACCGCTGCTGCTCAAGCATTCAGAGCCTCCCAAGCCAATGCCGCATTATCTACGGCCGCTGCGGCAGCAGCCCTTCGCACACATACACCTACCCCCACCTCCGTCGAGAACGTCCAGACAAAACGTATGCTGCGGAGGCAATTGTCTGTCGGCAGTGCTAAGGAAGATGTGGCTCAACCTCTCACTCAAAATGGTCGCTTATATAGGAGGAGTAGCTCCGGTTCTATGAGCTCGAGGACTTTTCGAGATCAACCCCTGGCTCATCCGGCTTCAATAGCTGGCTCTAGTGAGAGAGATATTAGCCCTGTCCCTCCGATTCCCCAGAACTTTCTTGCCCATCAACGAGCCGTTAGCCTGGAGTCGTCCTCTCGCGTGATTAATCCTGTCGCGCGTTCAAGTCGATCACCTGATCTACGAAAGCCCAGTTCCCCTCGCTCCCCTCGAACTTTGAATAGTCTTCCAGAGCTAGAAAGGCAGGACAGCCGGAGCTCGATCAACTTTTCCTACCCCACACACGCTCGTCCAAATTCCCCACCCCAATCTCCAATTCAAAAGCTTGTCGCGAATCCTCTAGTTTCTGATGATGATGGAATGGGCCTGGATGAAGGACTTTCTCAAAACTATATTGTTGCTCGATCATCCAAATCTACGACGACTCCTACAACTGCAGCTGCCAAGGGAGCCCAATCATATCCAGATTTGAGTGCTTTTCATACAGAACATGACGAATCGAAGAGGTCCAGGATTGGAGCTACTCATGCAATCACTGAAACCGAGGCAAGCACTTCTCCTGAAGAGCAAGACCCTGCACACTCCCATCATATGCCCTCCACTGTACACGGGGAAGACGCCGAGCAGGACCGTCATCCTTCCCCCAAATCAAGCCAAACGAAAGCGCGAACCACTCAACAATATGGTAACCGAGAAGCTGAAACCAAGGAACAACAGATAACGGATCCATCAGAAGTACATGATCACAAAACTATTCAAACCGACCAATCCACTGACTCGGGGAGTTTACCCGAGTTTAAATACCCAGATAGTCCTAAAGCAGATGTCGAAAGCGATAAAATATCTATGCCAACTGGCTTTACAGTCGATACCTCGCCATCTACAGATTTTGGCTCTACTTCACATACTCCTTTAGAGGCTCTATCCATTGGCCACGCGCACGACACAGTCAGTGCTAGCGCCGAAGGTAGAAATAACGAAAGACCTCATTCGATCAGCCCGACTCGTACCACACACTTTTCTAGCCATCTTGTTGTTTCCCTTAGCGGCGAAAGACTTCATGACCCTCCCCCACGGTCAATGTCTCCTGCGAAATCAGCCTTAAAACACCCAACTCCTCAATCTAGCCCAGGCAATCACAATTCGAATAACTGGTCTAAATCGCTTCAAGCACAGAGTGAATCTCCTGATGGCACATCGGTTGAATCAGATGATGGCCAAAGGGATGGGAACAAAAAACGCACCCCTAAGGTCAGCTTCGAAGATGAGCCGGAGGTAGTAGGGGCTTCTGCCACTGCTTCAATTTCTCAAGGGCCGGGGTCGCCCATTTCCTCAAGCGCTCTATGGGGTTCAGGATCAAAGAATTCAAGTCTTGCAAGGAATGGCTACCGATTTAACATCAGGAATGGGAGTGATGAGGATGCGTTCAACGAAGTCATGAAACCTCGTCCAGCACTTCCTTCTTTTGGCAGTATTCGTGGAAGGAGATGGTTGATCGAGGATCATGACAGGCGGCAGGTTCACGACAGACCTTCGTCACCGAGGACATCAGCTAGTGGCAATGCATTCCGCGAAATCTTACACCAGAGCAAGCATTCCCGCCCCCAAGATACCAACCCCTTCGTCCCTGGTAACCCGATCCCCCCAGAAGTCACGTCAGTTGAAGGGACTGGTTACGATTCCCCATCTGAAACGAGTTCATCCAGCGAGGACTTGGAGGATCCGGACGATTATGCCCATCCAGGAGATATTACTAGCTCCCCTCCATCAGAGGTACAAAAGGCCTCGAGCGAGAGCCTTGATGTTGGGGGAAAAGCTGTTAGAGAGCGATGGCGGAGTGAAAATATACCTATTATCTCAATTCATCCAGCTACTCCTGCTCTTGCTGAGGAAAATATTAGTGGCGAGTGGGCCAGGATGCCAGGATGGGTTTCATCTCCAATGGCTCTTCCAGAACACGAAATGCGCCAAAACATTGATAATACACGCCAACCAAGACCAGTAATCCCTGATTCCACCCCCGATTCAAGGATATCTTCGATTCCATACGTGGATGGTGATGAATCCGATTCAAGTGAAAGTGTTTACAGTGATGCAGCTGAAAATTTATCAGATCTTGAAGGTGATGGTTTTGGTTCTATAAACGCGATAGTTGACAGCCCTCTCTCTCTTAAGATCTAGCTATTCCCAT